AAAAAAAAGCTGATACCTGGAGTTTTGTCACATTTGGTGGACGTCATTCTGAGGTTCACCAGTAGATGGCGTCTGCTGTGTTTAGGAAGATGTCTGTGAAGATTCTCAGTCATCCAGGTCGTGGTTATTCTCCTGGATTAATTGTAGCAGCTGGACTTGCTTGAGTTCCTTGAAGACGTTTCACCTCTCATCCAAGAGGCTTCATCAGTAGTTGGGGGACGGTCATTCCAGTCTGACATAGAAACTGGATGTCAGACTTGATGGTGGAGGTCTGAGGCATCACCTCTCACATGTTTACAGTCCTAAGATCTCTCCCCAGGAAGATGAAACCACATCCACACCTATAGCCACTAAAGACCTTAACGAACCCCGTTGTGGTAGGAGGAGCACTAACGACCCACATAACGAGGGGGAGGAGCAACAAACCTCCAATTGAAACTCAGGTGTTAATGGCTCCTTCAGGATATAAGTATCTGGAACTCCCAACTAGCCAGTCAGAACTGATGAAGCCTCTTGGATGAGAGGTGGAATATCTCCAAACAAGTCCAGTTGCTACGATTCATCTACGAGAACAGACACATGGAAGATTATTGTCCACATTTCCACAGTAGTGATCCCTGTTTCTTCGGATTCCTCGATCTGACAACTGCTATGGAAACCATTTAAACTTCCATTTTATCATTAAGATTAAAGACAAAATAAACTGCAGGTATTATATCTTAAACAGACAACAACAATAAAAGACATTTTGATTTTGCTTTCTGTTGTGAAATCAGCATAAAAACGGTGAGTAAAATGGACACTGGACCAAAAAAAATTCACAGTAGAAAGTTTTATTGCTACTTGGCTTAAAGTTAATAAAAAAAACAGCTCGTCTGCTGAAAACTAATGATAGCAGCATTTAAAATAAAAATAACGACCGTCTTCCACTCTCAAAGTTCAAGGGAGTATAATTCTGTCTGACAAACTGCGAAAGTGCTCGTTGTTAGTTCATCTCCTAAATAATAAGTCTTCTTATAATTATGAAACATAAAACTAAACTTTTAGCAGTAATCTGCATGCTAGAATAAAAACCTAAAAATATTAGATATGCTCCATTTTGTACAAATAAATCACATTTTGTATGTACTCTATGTTTTTATGTTGACTTATATTTAGGGCATGCTTTCGACATTAAATACAGTTATAGTTAGTACCTTCAATAGTACCGTAATGCGTGACAGTATTCTGTAGAATCCCGATCACTTTAAACTCTGTAGCGGAGAGGGAAATATAAATTTGCATGAAACAATGAAGTACAAAAATAAACATCAGCTTCTTGGCATTGAGAAGAAGAAGAAGAAGAAGAAAAAAAAAATATTCAAGCATTTCTTGAAAATAATGTACAGAAAGGAACTCGTGAGTTTAAACAATGGCTACTTTGGTCACATGTTAAACAACTGGAGCGTCTCCGGTTCAGTTTCACTCACTGTTCACACAGAAGCACAGTCGATCCGTTACTCACACGGGCATGCATACACTTACTGTATGTGCGCACTAAAGCTTTGAACTACACACAAACACAGACATTTTGCGACGTGGTTGTACAGGGAGCTTGTTAAAAGTTGTGCAAAGAGGAAATGATCCCTTACAGTTACTAAATGAATCAGCAGTTAAAATAAAATAAAAAAATAACAAAACACCGACACTGTACTCAAATATACAGACCCTCTACTTTGGTGTACGAAGGGATTTGTGAGTATTGCACTACTGGATCCCTTCCACTAAAGAATTAAAGGGAATATTTCGAAGCCAATGCAATGTACCCTGTGCTCCCTCTTCCTGTATCTGTGCATACAGTCTGCATATGTACATGCACACCGATTACTGATGGATCGTTGTTCAAAAATACTTCAAGTCGGACGTGTATGTTGGACAGGACAGTGGGTGAGTATATGGCGTTGATCTGGAGACACACAAATGCACAATGAAGATACAACTGTGGAAAGAAAAACGGGCCCAGTTGGTTTGAAGAGCGGTGCAGTGTGGTCCCAGTCTGACTGGTGAGAAACTCATAAAAGTGCACCGCCAGTGAGCCAAAGAAGGGACATACTTAGAAAATAATGAGAGCAATGCAACTTACAAACACAGCCCCTACACACATACCCGCACCAGTCAATGTTCATTTTCAGACAGAATTCTTGGGTGAAAAACGAAGCTCTCATATACAGGTATATGTACAGTTGACACTTTGCATATTTTACACTTCCCAAGGTCTGTTGGGAATGCCGCCATCTTGTACGAAACCTTAAGGAAAGGTCAAATTCTCCTCTCCAAGCTCGCTAAACATTTCAGATATGTACCAGTGTTATTCACAATCATAGTCTGTCTTCGCTCCCCTCCCCTCCCTCCCCGCCCCGTAGCCCATCGACGTCTATGTTTGGGTTCTGATAGCGGAGGTCCGGTTAACAATCAGAACCTCATGTGTTTGGCATCTTAGACGCTGCACAATTTGATCAATGAAGAAACGAAATTATCAGCCTTATCGTGGAATGTGGTTTCCAATTTGTAATTTTAAAACAAACCAAAAATAAATCTACTTTTTTTTTTTTTTTTGGTGTTTGAATCCCAAATGACTCTAATCAGGGGAACAGCAGCGCGTTTAATTATTGTTTTGGGCTGCTGGAGGAATTTCAAACAGCATCTTCAGGTATGACAGATAAATGAACAAAATGCTTCTGTCAGTGCTGCATAGAAGTAATGAAGCACATGCAGAATAACTCATTTCCTCTCAGTGATTTCTATGAGTATAGGATCAATGTTGGAAGTTAGAGTTAAGAGCAAATATTAGTTTGTTGTGTTGAATTTTTAAATAAAAGTTCAGATACTGTGAAAAATTCTGACGTAGTTGAAAGCATTTAATTAAATAGGAAACGTTTAAAAAACACACCAGGAAGTGAATGTGGTGAATCAGCTGCTGTATATTTTAGATTATCATCTATTGTACTCTCAGACAGGAAGTGATGCGTCGGCCGCGATAATCCATCAACCTCATATATTAAACTCAAATATACACATCTCTGGATATCACTATTTCCTATATACAAAGTGCTTTGAACAGTGTTTCCTTCCTTTCAAGAGACAAAAAAAACAAACATTCACACTCATTTAAGGCTTCATCACTGACTTCTCACTCATTCAGGTGGAGCGAAGACAAAAAAATAAAAATAAAAACGACACCCTCGGAGCGCGAATGGGACGAAACAAAGGGTTCCACGTTTCAAAAATACTGAGTCGTGTTGTTTTAAGGCTAAAAGGGGAACACCGAAAGGTCTGGCTATGCAACAGCTGTGGAATCGCAAAACTGCACCACCGCCAGCCAAAAATATATCATCTAGTGTCGCGATCATCCAACTTTGGCCTTCTTGTAACCACAGCACAGCAACCACAGAGCTGCTTTCTCTTTTGGCACAAGGTGGGGAGGTTTCAGGACAAACTAAGGTTTCCAGGGCTGCATAACATTTACCTGATAATTCAAATAATAATGTAGATTTGCTGGGATAAATATGACTGGTCCTCCATATGTTAAGAAAACACAGACAAGAAGGGACCGAACCGTTTTATACAGCTACTGCACTCATTATAGTCTTTATATTAGCTGAGTTTTAAAGCCCCATAATCAGAAAGTACGCAAACACACGTACACAACGAGCGCTACATCAAAATATAGCATGACTCTGTTTGCTTCTATGTCCCAAATTTCTGTGTTTGTGACCCTCAGCTAGCTGTGTGACATCTCACATCCACAAATCTGATAGATTTGTGGATGTGAGATGGAAAAAAAATGTAAATCATCAAATCTGCCTTTGGGGGGAAAATGTTCACAAATTTAAAAGCGTAGCAGCAAAGTTTAAATATACTAAAATGTACAATCTTAGTACCAGTGGGGATACTTCCAAGCACACAAATAGCTTCTATCCATCATGTAATGCGTCAGATTTGTGACTGATTTGATCAAATGACTGAAATTACACGATATATCCAAACATCCTGGCTTCTCCAGTCCACTATCCAACGACCACACAACTGACTCAGTTCAAATTAAGCTTTTGTTTTCCTGTGAATGTAGTTTTTAAGATCGATCCTCGGATTACGACGTGACGAGGATTTTTGAATTCCTCAACAGCTCTGTACAGTCTAATGACTCTGATATTGCATTGCTCTAAATATTAATCTTGATGTCAGCAGCTCGATCGCACCACGTCAGCTGGCTGCTAGTTGTCAGGGTGAACTTCACTGTGCAGAAGATTCTATACACACTGTGTGGGAATGTTAACAATGAAACCCAACCATAACATTTCTAGCAATGTAAATGCAGTTATTTCACATCTTTTAGTCCTGCGTGTCGTCTTACAGGCGTTTACACTGTCTGATTTCTTTTTGTAAGCCACAGGTAGAGGAGGAGAGCAGAAGCTGTGCCAGTGTCGGTCTCTTGGAGACGCCGTCCCTCCTGTAAATTTAACTAACGAGCTCACATCCCCAGAACGCCGCCTGGACGTGGGGAGCTCTGGGCTGTGTTGTCTGTAGTAGGCACTTTTTCAAGTTCAGTCATAGGGCTTCTCTCCAGGACCTGAGAGACCACGGAGCCCCTGGAGAGGTGATTTGACACGATCTCTTACACACCATCCACATTGCTTGACTTTCCAAGTAAAGGGAAATGCTGCTGACATGTTCAAACACACGAGGTATCCCATTTCAGGTCAGGCTTGTTTTTGTCTGTGGTACTTTTCACAACGCCGACCTGGAACCTTTGTTCGTCTCTGCTCTCTCGAATGCACGTTTCACCTCACGCTAATGGCACAGCATCACGTCGTGACTGTCAAGGTCTCGCCGGCTTGTCCTCACAAAAGATCTGAATGGCAACTTTAATTGGAGAATCCCAACGTTTGAGAGAAATCTTCTTCCTCAGAATGGCACAATCACAGAAGTGCAGCCGCATGGCACTGTGCTGTGTCCGTCCTCTAGAGGGCGGTATCGTAGACTTCCTGCTGTAGCATGGGAGCCGGTCCTGGACCCGGGACCAGGCTGGAGGGGAAAGCAGGGGGGTGCGGGTGATCCCACACAGGATCTTTTAAGGAGGTGGGTGTGGATGGTGCGGAGGGGCCTGAGACTAGAGGGCTCTGGCCTCTGAGCTGCTCCCTGACTTCCTGCTCCAGACTGGGAGGCACAATCAGCTGGTCCTCTGGGTCCTGCTGTGCTGGGGCAGTGAAGTAGCCAGACTTTTTCTTAGGAGCCTCCAGGGCAACTTCAATGAGATTATGACTGTCCTCGGGGGCAACAACGGAGCCATTGGACAGCTTCTTTCCAAACAGGCTGGATGTGGAAGGAGACTTCTTGAGGTCAGCGATTTCTCTCCCACATACAGCCAACAGGCAGCCGTTCGTGGCAGAAACCACCACACTGTTCTGTCTGCGCATTTTGCCATTGGGATAGTCAGAGCCCCGCTTTTCAAAGTCCAAGTCTTTGGGGCTCTCAGGGGCCCCTGACCGTAGCTGGAAAGCACAACAGTGAATGTCTACCTCCACTTCCAACTTGCTACCATTGGAGATGACGCCCTCAAGCGGAGCCTCATCGTCGCTGTCCAAGCCGTTGTCGGACTGGTTGCTTGAGAATGTAGCGCAGGAGGGCTGCCGCTGGAACAGGCCCGGGTGGGTTCCAGCCCCGGCTGAGCCTGGCACCATGATCCCACACAGCGTAGTAGCAGGGTGTAGGCTACAGCGTCTCTCGGGGCGGGACGCAGGGCCAGAGGACGGGTGTTCGTCCGAAGCGGTGGAGCCCGCCTCGCTGCCCATCTCTGAAGCCGACGTCTCGCTGCTGAACTCGGTGACGACGCCGCTGCTGGATGAAAGGTTGACCGGGTCGCTGGGGCCCGGGGTCACAGTCACAGGCACAGGGGCAGGAGGCGGACCCCGCGGTTCAGTGGTGGAAACCGGGGGCTTGCACGTACAGCTGTCCTCGCCAATGTTCAGGGACACCACCACGGCGCCGATGTTGTCTTTGCAACCGTAGCTCTGGGCGAGCGAGCACAGCTTCTTGGCAGCAGCGCGAGGGTCCTGGACGGCCTGCACGGTGCACACGGCCTCCTGGTAGGACACACGCTCAAACAGGGCTCGATTTCCCAGGATCAAGAACTCATCCTGGGAGCAGAGCGGCTCAGTGTGCACCCAGGGCTTCGGAAGCACCCAGGGAGACAGATAAGAGCAGCCCAACAGGCGAGAGCAGCACGTCACTCCACTCACTTTGTTATCCTGGAAAACACAAGCGCCATTAGACTCACAGATGAGTGTAGCGTCTTAACACATCTGGAATATAAGGCTGTGCATCAACAGATCAGTAACTGTACGTGACAGAATACTGGATAAGCTGAGCGTTACCTCTGTAATAATGGCTTTGCTGAGTTTAACCCTCTCCATCTCCTCAGTGCAGTTCTCCAAGCTGTAAACCTTAGAGAGCGGTACAGGTCGTCCGTTTCGGCACAGCACAGCTTGGCAGGTGCCCACGTTGGCCACAGTCAGAAAGAAGTTTCCGACTGGATCTGAAGTCTCACGATGGATATAACACAAGAAGGCAGAGGCGCCCAGTTTCTGGCCGGCCATGCCCAGTTTCCTGTCACACATAAACAAATCTCAAAGATTCATCTACAGACACAAAAAGAGGTGCGCATGAATCATTAATAAACATTTCAGACTCCTGTCTTACCTGTGTGAGGTGAGGAAAGTGTTGCACATGTACACACTGTCAACGCCGGAGTGCTGCAGTTCCTCGCACAGCACGTCTCCCATGGTGCACTGCAACAGCCGAGGCACTTCCTCATTGCGGTCTCCGTCAAAGATGCCGTAGCACGCTTCCACGCCGTCTCCAAACCGGTCCACAGCCAGCCCGGACACACACAACCTGTCCCCGGCAACAGATCCACATTAACAAACGGATGATTCAGCGCCTCCCACAAACCTCATACATAGTTCAGCAGGCGACGCTGCAGGGAAACAGCGAGGGGTGACAGCTGAAAACAGACACTGCTGTGGGGGTCCCTGTGGGGGCCGTGACCCTGTAGTTGCAGCTCAGGCATGCTGGGCTCCTAAACACTGATGCACATTACATTGTTACAGGCTTTAAATGCAGTCGAGCTATTAGGCTCCAGTGAGTGAGTTATTATTTAAAAGATCTGATGCCAGTGAAGCCTGCCAGTGATTCAGCTGTTGACTCACAGGCAGACACATGCTTTGTGCTTGTCCAGCAAAATCCACACAGATTCAAAGTATATCCTCTGTTTTAAAGGTCCCATATCATGAGAATGCTGCTTTTTTGTGTGTTTGGTGGTTGGACAAGGATGTCAAGACTTTTACTTCTGCAGCCTCCCAGCATCACAAACCAGTGAGAATTGTACTTAATCACATATGTGAGGGTTGTCT